GTTATGTAATGAAATTTTATTCATAAAGAAAGAAAATAAAAACGTTTCTGTGTAATTAGTTCTAAACATTATACAATAGTAGTTAAAACAAATAATAAATTTTATTAATTGAAAATTTCTAAAAATACGACACAATAGTAATTGGTAATTAATATATCACATATAGTAGCTAAATATACTATAGTTATGTATCATGAAGAAGTGCGTTGCTTTAACTTCTATTTGATTATTAACAAAAGGTTTTTTTTTTCCAAAAAAACATATTTTTAGTTTCTATTTCACAATTGATTAAAATAATTGTAATTTTACGTATGGGTATTAAATACGAACTTTAGCTTCAATAAAACGTAAACTAAAAATACTAAAAGTGTTAAATTTTTCTGGTTTATTTTTTTAAAAAACAATAAGCTTCGTAATAAGTATTACAAAAATTTCCCGCGCTGACAGAAAGGAATAGAAAATAAGGTTAGCGTTTGCATGATCTATGCAAAGCCTCTCTAATATTTATGCATGTAACTTATAGGTAATGTTTTTTAATTATATTTAGCCTGTAATATTTAATCGTCCTTTGTTGTTACATTTTTGAGTTATTTTGAATATTGTTTCAAATTAAAGGCTCAAAACTGAAAGTACTGTTTCTTTATTATAAAATAATTCTATAATATTACCTTATTACGTAGCATTTTACGATAAAAATCATTATCTAAACTTATTAACCTTTTTACAATTATTAAACAATAAATAAGTTATGTTTACTTTTTCTAAAACATTAGGATTCTAAAACATTATTAACAATGAACTATTTTTACTGCTAAATAATCTCTTAAAAAGCAATTAGAAATTTTTGTTGAAAAATGAAAAAACTTAAAAAATAAAAACCGAAGTTATAGATGAAATGGAAATATAGTTGCCAAGTTAAATAATTAGGTTTAAATTTTATCCTAATGAAATCGAGAACTAAATCAGAAAAACCAAAATTGTTTTAATAGAATAAAACATTTTGGGATCTTTCAATTAAATGCTATTAAACTTAGATGCAGCAGTCAGTCATCATCAAGTAATGAAAAATGTTGTAGCAGACGATGGGGCTAGTGAACAAAGCAAGCAAGTGATAAAGCCCTCTAGTATTTTCATTTAAATTACCTAGTTGCAAACTGATATTGGTAATAATTCGTCTGAGAAAAAAAATAATATCTTCATAACATTACATATTTTTAGGTATTTACATAAAAATAGGTATTATTATGATGCACTGACATATTTTTAAGTGTGTATCCTAATTATATCGATAATTGCTTGTTTTTTCCTAAAGACATTGATTCGCAATGAAATCCTGTCTCGATAATTTAAAATTTTCAATTTTATCATGATTTCATACCAATTTTCTCAAAAATTTGAAATAACTTTTACTTTAATAGGTTTTCTATAATATTTTTTTAAATTGCTTTTTGAAGTTAACATGGTGATAATTATTTGCAAAACTGATTGATAATTCGTCCTGTTTCTGTAAAAGCGTTTCACCGCCGAAAGAGTCCTCGTGCAGTGAAAGCAACACTGACTATTCTGTTCACCGATGTTGGTAGGTTCACCAGATATCGATGAGTTCAGAGTGATTTTACTTTTTAAGTCTTACTACGATAGGTTTCCTATTTTAGTTTTATTAATTGATTTTTTATATTAACATTGTAACATTTATTTGCTAAATCTGAACAAAACTGATTGATTCAACTGATAGGCTCGACAGATATCGATGAGTTCAAAAGGAATTAGAAAGAAAACCCAGGGTGTGATTTTCTTCTCTCTAATTAGCAAATTGAAGTTTTCTTTTAATGAGGATTGATGATTTTTTATCATTACGTAAAAAAGAGCGTTATCATCATATTTAATCTGTGTTAATCATTGCATTCTTTTTCTTTCTTGCCTTTTTTTCTCCCTTGTTTTATGTTGCACTTAAACAACTACTTTCAGAAACATGATATCCAAGCGCAGGTTGAAAACAGTATTGAGTTTAATATATGTTTTCTACCAATATCGTGCATTATTTTTTCTCCCGTACTTTTTAAAGAAAAGAAAATCAAATGCTGTTCTAAAAAGACAGGTTTTTCTAAAAGACCAGGATAGCCTGGTTGGTAGGACATGGGACTCTTATTCGTGAGTACGAATCCCCCCCCCCCCCCGAANCCCCCCACATTAAATCTGTTGCACATCCCCTGGTGCACATTAAATCTGTTGGAGACACAAAGTTCTCCAAATACCCATAACAAATCAATACCTCTGGAAAGAATACTTGAATTGGAGATAGATCGTTCTCCGATTCAGGCCAAAATTATAATCTGTGGATGAATGAAAGCAGTATGATTGGGTCCTACCTTTAAAACGGGTTGTGACGTATGGGTAGCTGAAATCGTATTCTTGGCTATAGATGACGCCACTTAAAAAAGAAGAAACGCAGCTTCATTTCAAGCAGGCTTGCTTGGGCAACAACAGGTTTTCTAAAGCTACTCGTCAATTGGTTACTGCCAAATGCACTTACGTCATTCTTTGACAAAGAAACTGTCACTTAGAGCCTTAGGGTGCGCAACCAAATTATTCAACAAAAATAAGCACCTTTTAAGCACTTTTGAAGCCTTCAAAAATATTTTTAAGCACTTTAAAAAATATCATAACTAGGCAGGGTTGGAAAGTTTTTGACAATTGGCGGTTTTATCTTGTTTTAAACGTCACGTCAAAAAAAAAAAAAAAAAAGCTTTTTGGCATTGTTTTTAACAATTGTCAAAAATTATGAAATTTTAAATCATGTAAAACGAATGGCGTTTTCATACGCCACGGACTTACAATACGCCGAAATAGATTGGGGTTGAATTAATTGTGAAAACGTTGAATAGAAAAATGCGAGCTGAGTCTTTTTGCATAATTCGAAGCGAAAATCAACTTAGTAAAGGAAAAATATCATTTTGAAAAAAGGGAAAATTAAGCACATTTTAAAAACTTCCAATGAAAAAAGCTCCTTTAAGGGCTTTTAAAAAACGAAAATAAGCACTTTTTAAAAACGCTACGCACAGTGCATGGAAATCATCGGAATTAAAACTTAAATAAATTAATATTACTAAACTAAACTCAGTGGCGCAACAGCTCATAGAGGGCCAAAGCCTACTGTGCCCATCTCAGTTTTCTTGACCTTGGGTTCTGGGCTGCAGGAGCAGATGTTCCAGTCAGATGGTCAGCCGAACCCCCAATGTTTAGTCAAGCATGCTTGTATGTCAAGCATGCTTGGTACTCATTTATCGACCCACTGAAGAGATGAAAGGTTGAGCAACCTTGCCCGGCCCGAGGATCGAACCAGGGACCTGTAGCACGACAGCGTGAAGCGCTACCGCTCAACTACCGGGCGTCAAATTAATATTATATAGATAAATAAGACTAAAATAAAAACTTTCTACGATAAATCTCAATTTTTTCCCCAAAAATTTCCCTCATTCTATGTGTCTCTCTTCCCTTACACTATTAAATCATAAATTTCAAATTTGGTCCAGGGTTGGCAAAAATGATTATTTTTTAAAAAAGTTATAAAAATAGGATTTTGTTATTTAAATTAGATTTTTTTAAATTAAATTCGGTTTTTTGATAATTTTACATTTTTTAAATCAAGCTCTGATAAAATATATTAATAACATTCATTATTATTCAAAAACATATCTAAAATAATACATTTTTTCAACTAAAATGATTACATTTATTATTTTATTACAACTAACTACTGAAAAATATAAAAAAACAAGTTAAATATATACACTAACTACATATTTAATAAGTTTTAAAAGTCGTGTTTTTAAATAAGTTTAAATCTAAATGAATTGAATTTAACTAAAACATTTTTATTAAAATCAAACTACTTGACATACAAACAGTGGAAAATTATAATTAAAGTTTCATCTATATTTAGCTTCTTAATTAATTTTCATTCATATTTAGTTTCTTCATTTATAATTCTATTTTGGACATCAAAAAATAATTTTATAAATATCCCTCTTTCATTATTTAGATATAGCCTTCATTATCATTAAAATCAGAAAAAATAAATAAAAAATCGTAACCTTAAAGAATATATATATTAATAAATTACATTATGTAAAAAAATTCAACTTAAATACTTCAAACAAATTTAATTGAAATAAATCAATGATTTAAAATAAAATAGGTGATTTAAATCATGAGAACCATGATTCCATCTAAATTACATTAAATATAAAATGAACAGTGTGCAAAAAAATAAATAAATAATAATCCTCCTCAGAATATTATTTTTGAATGCTAAGAAGAAATTTTAATGTATCCAAGGTAGTCCTTAAATAATTTTCTCTTTAACAAATCACATCCTTCAATTTTAGAATTGATAATCAAGTCTTATGATGGATATCAGTCGAAAAAAGCGTAGTTTCTAGGAAATGTTTAAAGTATGACAGTTAGTATATTTAAAGTCTACTTCTTGACCATTAAGACTGAATCATTAGAATCTGAAAATATGATTATTGAAACAAAAGTCATTGAGAGGTATGTTTTTTATTTAAGTACATTTTATATTTAAGTCTGGAGAATTATTACTCAATGATAAAATCAGACCCACTGAAGGAATGAAAGGCTAAGTCAACCTTACCTGGTCCAAGGATCGAACCCATTACCACTGAGCCACCAGGAGTCAATTTTGAAATAAAGATTTGTTTAGTTACAATTAAAAATCTAATATTAAATTAATTTAATGGTTTGTTCTCATTCTGTTTTCTCAAACATGCTGTCCAAGGGATTAGATGTAGGATAAATTATTTTATAATCCCAATGTATATAAATATATATATATTTGAGCTAGAATTGTAGTGAACAAATTAAGGTGATTACTCTGATCAAAATTGCAAATAAATTTACAGAAAGTGCCATTAGTTTTGATTTTTTTAATATAATATTAACAAAAATTAATAACAGAAATCAAACAATCAGTGACAAAATACATGTAAAATGTTTATTAACTATTTAAATACATTTTTATAATGAAATAAACTCATTGTATTTCTGAAAAAACTCACTATTAGATAGTGATTTAAACCATTTCAAAGCATTAGTTGGTAAATTTATATGAAGTTTTGCCTGAATAAGAGCACTCCACATTACAATGTCAGCAGTTGACAGACTATCACCGACCAGAAACGTGCTTTTCCCAAAGTGTGAATTAAGAGATCGCAGAATACCCTGTCTATCTTTAGTATTGCCATGAAGTACAGAAGTATGAGCGATTTCTAACCAATCATCAATGAGTGTAGAGGTAATTGGATCGTTTTCATAATTGAAAGATAATAGTCTTGAGATGTACCTATATATAAAATGAAAAATGATAGTAAAAAATGTGAATTGATTTATTGATTGAATGTAGGGCTTAATGGCACAAAATTCAAACAAGGACATGCTCCGCCAAACAATACGGTATAACAGTTTAAAAACAAAGGTCAAAGTGCATACAACACTTTCATTGTACAATTATTATTGATAAAATGGTACAAGTAAGTTTATATAATCAAATAAAAGGTATAAATAAAGTCAGATAAAAAGGTAGGAAAACAATATAAAATACACTGGATAAAATGATACAAAGGGGATATGATGTTTGCAAACTGAATAAAATTATAGATGGATTAAAACATTTATATATAGTTAAAAATACTAACAGCACATAAAAATGCAAAAACGTTAGCATTATGAATGTTATTCAATAAATTCTGTATGCATAAAATAGAACTCCCAAAAAAGGTAAAGTTAGAAATGTGGAAAAATACTTTATAGGTTTATTTGCAGTGTCTTAATATTTATTTTGCAAATATTTTGAAGTAGAGTTAGGTGGGATAAATTGGATACAAAATAAAGCTTTTTTTAAAAGAAGGCTCTAAAACCAAATAATTTAATATATTTTAACAAAAATTTCAATGCGTTTCATAAACATTACATTCATATAGATTAAATATGAAATATAATTTATCTATTTTGTTTATTTTCTTATAGTAATGCATCCAAAAGAACATGTTTTGTCACACCCTCGTGGCAAAGTGAGGATAGGTCTAAAATTAGTGTATATTTTATTAATATTTTTTAGATATAAAAATGCTCTAAAACAAATGTATTTCAATTATATTTTTTTTTAAAAATGTTTAAAAAAATTTTTTTTCTTTATTATTAAATAAAAGAGTTAATGTACTAGGATATCAAAATTATGTTTTACTTAAGATGCAGCATTATTTGCTAAACACTACACAATTTCTTAAAAAAGCAAGACAAGTGTTATGGTTTTGGATATACTTGATATGTGAAGGAGAGAGTAAAAATTAACATCTATAGTGATAATTTAAAATGTTTTTACTATTTATAGCAGACCTGCATTTTTATACAAATGAGTTATTTTAAAGAAATTGTTTTGTTTTCTATGAAAAAACTGCAATATGAAGACAGAAACTTATGTTAAAACTCATCTATATCTGTAAATATGCTCACTAAGTTGTACCATTCTGTTATTTTAGTCATATTTCCTAATTGTATAATATGTCCGTTATATTATTATTTACCTCTTAACCATTTAATTCTCTAAAAAAAAATTTATTTAAAAGAAATTTTGCTTTCAGTGCAAAAATTATGTGTAATCAAATAAGTAGATTATTTTTTAGCTATTTTGTTATAAAATATAGAGTATTAGAAACTTAATAAAACTAACACAGAAGTAAAAAAAATACCCGTTATACAACACTTAGCTAAGCCTAACTGTATACCCATAGAAAACAATTCATAATAAAAAGAATTTTCAAATTTATTCTTAAATTCCTATGCATATTTGCTCCTTAGACGTTTTTCTACAAGTATGAACTAAAATTAATAGTTTTGCCAGGTTTTAATGATATTAGAAGAAAGTTCCTCAGCAAATAAAACTAACACACTGCGTAAGTTGATCATAAACAGATAGTCTGCAAACATTAAATTTTTTATCAGTTCCTAAAACTAGAATGTAAATGCTTGCTGCAAACAGTAAATGTCTCTAAAAATAATAAACAAATTATCTCAATTTAAAAGGAAAAATATATGTTGTTTTTTATATCTCCATTTTACCCTATTTACTACACCAGACCCTATATTTTATTGTTTATTTTGAAAATAATCTGAAAAAGTAAGTACATTAGTAAATTATAGATATAACCAGTCCCATAAATATTTAGAGTTTAATTATTGAAATTTTCTTTAAAAAATATTTTTTTCTGTTTCTTAAAATTTACGTTTACAATAGAAAAAAGTTTTTTAAAAATTATTATGCACTATTGTTGATCGCTACTCAATTTATATTCAATAGTAAATACTATAATGCAAAATCTTTTATTTTCTGCGGCAAATGATAAAAATTATAACTATGGCAACAGGTAAAAAATCTTCTAATCTGGTACTGGAAAGGCATGCAGTTGAAATTTCTTAACTAATTTTCAAAAAATAAAATTTTTGATACAAACATTTATCATTAAAATGAAGACATGTAGAGCAATTACAGACATGGGGGTGTCTGCTTTTCAAATTCAGAAAGAAATAATACATATAACTTCAAAAAAGCTCAAATTGCTTAATTCTATATAGTATAAACTTATATTCTATATAGGTATATACCTAATATTGATAAGTAATGCATGAATTTACTATTTAAAAAAAAAAATAACGCTTAAGTGTTGCTTTCTTCATGAATATTTGTTGCAGACAGATTTTATAACTCTTGGTAGAAAAGGGGNGCTTAATTCTATATAGTATAAACTTATATTCTATATAGGTATATACCTAATATTGATAAGTAATGCATGAATTTACTACTTAAAAAAATAACGCTTAAGTGTTGCTTTCTTCATGAATATTTGCAGCAGACAGATTTTATAACTCTTGGTAGAAAAGGGGGGGGGAGTTTATTTCTAACACCATAATCTGGAAAATGAAATCTTAATAATTACAGACAAATTGTAATAATTTGCACCTTTGCAGACACGTCTTTAGGCACAAGTTATAAAAAAAATTTAACTTGAAAGAGACATCCTTTTTTGACAAAGAAAAGAGATACACATAAGCAGATAAACATAAAGAATAAAGGCAATTTTTGAATTTTGTTAAAATGCTCTTTCTTTTAATTAATAAAAATTAATTTTAAAAATGCATTTACAGAATAAAAATATATTTTTATAATAAACGATAATAAATTGGTTATTAAATAATCTGTTTCATAACAACATATGTATTAAGGACATTCACAAATAAAATTTTACTTTTTAAAACTAATTTTTTTAAAAATTGTTATTTTTTTAAAATTAAATTAGAGGAAACTTTTTCTTTAATCTTAGTTCTTCACTAAAATTGTACAAACAAATAAGCTTATTGGAAATTAAATTGCAAATAAAGACACATTATTAAGGAAACTAAATTGTAAGACACTTGAGAACACAAAAGAAAAAAGTGTTTTATCAGGTTAAATAATGAAAGATGATAAAGAACAACATGTATTTACCTAGCAATATTTACTTCACCTTCAATAGGTCCTTGATGAATAGGATTGACCACCATTTCATGATCTTTTGAACCTAAACATATAAACAGAAATGACAAATAATGTCTAAGAAATATGAAATGTTATATCCAGTATTTTTTTGAAAACAAAAAAAAATTGTACCAAACTTCTACAGCACATAAATAATATTCTGCACATAGGGAATTATAGAGATTTTTTACAATAAAACTCATAGACTACATAACTTTAACAATTAAAAGTTGATATTCATTTAAATACCTTTCAGTTTCAAAAATAAGAAGACTTGAATACAAAATTTTTTGAATACAGAAGAACTGAATCAATACAAGTCTAGATTTTATGAGATCATAGGTTTGACGAAGAAATTTTTAAAATATGGTAGTTTAATATTAAAAAGCCTTTATGAGAACCATGTAATTACAAGCATAATTCAAATATAAGAAATTTTTACTAAATTTTATCAAAATTGTTATTAAAGCTATCAAAAAGAGCATTCAAACGTTACTGAAAATTCCATTCCTAATGAGATAGGTTAAAAACACCCTCTCTATAGGAATGGATAATTAATAATCATAATAATATATCAATGATAAATAATAATTAATAATTTCCTGTCAAGTACATTAAATTACAAGCAATTACAAGTATTACAAGCAATTGCCGAGACTGAATCCCACACACTTCTTCTTCTTGGGCACTACAGCCTATGACAGACCAAGGCCGCCTCAAAAAGTTTTTACCATCTTGATCTATTCTTTGCCATGGCTTTCCAGTTAGTTTATACTTTTTATATAGCTCTGATTGTAAAGGGTGCGCCATTTGTTATTCTCATTGACTGCACCAAAAATTCTTCTAGGTATCCCTCTCTCAAAAATCAGCAATTTGTTCTCTTTTTTATTAAGAGTCCAGCACTCACTACCATGTAGGATCACAGGCCGTAGGAGTGGTTTGTATATGTTAATGCTTGTCTTTTGTTTAAGAAATTTACTTTTTAGTTAGAACAAGTAGAACAACATTTTAAACACAAGTAGCGCTTGTTAGCCATTGCTAAACAGCTATCGATTTCATTATTTATGTCATTTTTTGAAGGTTACAGTAGTCCCAATATATTTAAATTCATCAACAGCTTCAAACTCATAATCATGAATCCCACAGAAATATATATATATATATATATATATATATATAATTGATTTTGATAATTTTC